TGATTATACGCTAACGTAAAAGCGCGGAAAATGACGAGTATCAAACATACACATTCATAAATCGTGAGGAGGTATTTACCCGTGTAACCATATTCTCATTTGTCACTCCATACGAATATTTGCATACTTGAAAACGTTATTTGTATCAATCATCGCCGTTTTTGAAATGTAACGTATTTACATTACATCCCAATCACTGGATAATTAATGCACTTTCGTCTGACGGAAATACATAATTATCGAAACTGTCGTATCAGTTACGCTATCTTTGAATACATACATTTAAATTTCCATACGAGCGCTTATTTAGTTTATTCATAGAAAATGTTATTTCTATGCTTGCTCCTGGAACTCATGTTTCTGAATAAGAAGAAAACATGGATATATGTTGCTCTATATACATATATATGGTATGCAATATATTGCTCTATCGTAAATGAGTGAACTATAAAAGTATCCATAAAGTGTACACATATTCTTGTATCTATGTTATGTATATGTCGAAGATCGGATTTATGCGCGAGCGACGTGATACGTAAAAAATTTTTATGAAACCTCGTCACGCCATAATCTTTTTACACACAATGCAAAAGTTGAGTTTCTGTATTAAAAAAAAAAATGTTTACCCGCACGGAGAAAAGTCATGGAAAATTTATGAACATCGTAAAATTGTTAAATAACATTTTGTAATTATATAATTGAACAGATATATTCATATTATTATATCTCTAACTATCCATGTCCAATCGCTGCAAGCTATCCAAATTAGGGACGTATTTATATCATTTAATTAACAGCCTTTGAATAAATGATGCGATTGTGCGGTCGTGTACGCTCGAAATTTGCCGCAATATGCGCGTTCTTGTACAGAGAGAGCAATGCACGATTTCTCATAGCAGATGCAACGAGCTGTCGGTACCGTCTTGTACAAATAATCACGGCAATCCTTTCCTTGGTATAACAGTCGGTGTACCGCATAAACTTACGCATTCACGAGAAGAGTCAGGCCAAAATTAAGAAAAAAAGAAACAGAAAAAAAACAGAGACAGAAAAATGAAAAGAGAGCGAAAAGAGCTACCGCTTCCAGCTGGAAATCTACTCCAATCTAAATATTTAACTCGAATCTCTCTTGAAAATAATTTACCGATGTTTATCGTTATAAAACGAATCTTAACTGTTCTAACATATCAGCGACAAAGAATTCAACTGTTCTTTAATTTAACGAAGCAGATTACTATATACTCTCTTTTGACAATTCATACGACCGAAGTTGAATTTTTTAACAGAAATGAGATTGCAAACACGAATCCGAATTAAGTTTGATGTAAGTAATTCACAATAGAAAAAATATAGTGCCTTAATAAAAAAATGTTTAATTAAGGTATTTTTTAACAGCAACCAAATATTTTGTTTATTTAACACAAAATTTAGTTGCTTTTGCTCGACATATTTTTACTTTTGTAAATCAAATATTTATTTACACTAAAAAGTTTGCTTGGTATAAAAATATTTTGGTTATTTACAAAGCTGTAAAGTGTATTGAGTAAAAACAACTAAATTTTTTGTTATACAAATAAAATATCTGATTGCTGTTTAAAAAATACCAGTTTTGCTAAAGACTCAATTTTTTTCCTAGTGCATTTTTATATTCTATTGTAGTGATCTGTTTAAAAGCTTTACTAATGCCAATGCATATTCTTTCTAAAAATTAACATGAAATATTTCACGCACGCACGCACGCACGCACGCACGCACACACACGCACGCACACACACATACACACACACATATATATATTACATATAAAAATTTATATATTATATATTTTATCAAAAATTCGCGTTTCTTAATTTCTTTTGTCCAGATATTAAATTCTTAATCTATAATTTCGATAAATATATCTTATATTATTGAAAAGTATATTTTGTCTTGTATTGTTTAAAACCAAAAATGTATAATGCCAAGTTTTTCATAGCATGTATTATTATTAGGTGTTGGAATTAATTCGTAGCGTTTTTAATGAAAGAATGTTATTTATTTCACATGAGCATTAAAAAATACATTAATGAAAGTACTTCCCATCACTTGTAAAACGCTACGAATTAATTCCAACACCTAATATTTTTAATTAAATTCTAAAAAAATAAACTTCCATTTATGCAATAACTTTAGACTAATAACTTAAAAAATAAATTTTTGTTATTAGATCTTATTCATCGATAAATATAAAAATATGACATAAAAGCTCTATAATAGAACATTTTGCTTGTATCTGTATGCATTTCAGGTGACTTATCGTTTCCACTAGAAGGAATTACAAGCACCGAGGAAGAGAGACGAAGAGGCTACGTGAAGCCTGGAGACAGGTTCGACCGATCGATTGGTAGAGCAACAAAGCCATTATCTGCTTCAGCCGCTCAAGCACAAGGTAAATTGTGTCCGTGTGCTGGAGTAGGTCTGTTCCACCGGAAGTCAAAGGGTCACTCTCTCGACCGACTAAAGCTAGTCAAGACGTCAAGCCTGTACTATATGTTAGTCACTTCCGATCCATCAAGATCTTTGTAAAGTTTCGGTCTATCAACGAGTGCTCTCACGTAGTATTGAATCACCAACAATATATACAAGATATTCCATTTTAAGGATACAGTTAATTATTTTGAAATCATTTTCAGGAAAAATGTTTCAAAAAATAATTGGTATAGTTTGAAAAAAAAAAATAATAATAAAATAAATTTTCAACAATAAAATCAATTTATTCCTCTTCAAACTATACAATTTTTATATGAAACATTTTTCTCGAAAATGCTTTTCTTTCAAGATAATTGACTGTATTACTTAAAATAAAACACTCTGTGTATAAATCCTCAATATAAAATATCAGACTTGTAAATTTGGTATTTTAAAAAGAAAAACTACACATGAGTAAGCCGTTTTACTAACTTTAAAATATAATACAGAATTTTCTCAATTTCCTGTTGCAAGAATGAAAAATGCAAATCAAGAAATGAGACGAAAGACAAGAAAATAAGATTAAGTTGCTACATCTTACGCAACAAAGCAATTTTATACCTCTGATTTATTAAAATGGCTATTCTTGGTTTGTTAAAAACTTCAATTCCGTTTCTCTCAGGATATATGGAAATAATTGAGATAAATATAATTGAAAACAGCTATTTATATCTACACTGACAATGAGAGAAAAATGTACTAAATTTTAACAAATATTTGATTGAATAGTATTAGCTAAAAGTAAACATATGTATTTATTTAGTACAAAATTTAATTTAACTTTTTTATTATTCTTTCATTTAGCAAATATTTATTTATCGCAAGTAAATATTAAATTAATATTATTCAAATAAATATTTATTAAAATTTAGTATACATTTTTTCTCAATGTCCATTTTCTTAATTTGTTTTCTATAAAACACAATCATAAACTCTATAATTTAAAAATGCCCACCCAACTTTTAAGTGTGTATAATAAATTTTATTACACCATAAAAGATGATTAAAATTGTTGATTTTTAAATATAAAAAATTATTACTATGACTATAAAAATTGTATTCAAAAATCAACCATTCGTGCCACTGTTATTTATACATATATTTTCATTTACTTAGTTTTATATACTTTAAAGTCAATATATAGTGTAAACATAGATACTAACTAATCTATCTTTAACTATTCGATATCATAACTAATACTCTCTCGAAAATTATATTTAGGAAATCATATATAAGAAAATCATATTAATTATTATAAAATCATTATTAATTATTATAAAAAGATTAGATATAATTTATTTAAAAAATTACATAATGCAAATATCAAAAGTTCTTAGTTGATTTGAATGTCTTGCAATTTAATAGAATTTTTTTTTATTTATTTAAAACAGAAAATCAACGCTAAAAAAATTTTTATTAATATTGATATATATTATTATATATTGATAATATTGATACTAATATTGATATGTGGCTAATTAATGTGATATTATGTTATATCAAAAATAAATTTATCTGGTAATAACATAACAAAAATGTTAAAAATACAACAGACAAGCTTGTAAGAAACTTTGGACAGTTATTTGTCATATCATAATGTCCAAAGTTCGATATGTTACGATTGATGATATTCGGTAAGACATGACGTGGGATCAGAAACTTATGCTGCTAACATAAATTCTTGATATATGTATGTTTCTATAAACCATCACATAGATATATAAAACTCGTTATTACACTATCAAAACTTTATTAAAATTAATATCACATAAAGTAAAAGTATTATCCGAATAATATAACTGATACGCAACTTATTAATTATAAAATAATTTATTATATTTAAAACAAAAATATATTTATTTCACTGTAAAATATTAAATCTCACGTCAAGTCTTTTCTTCAGAGTAAATCTATCAAGATAATGAATGTATAAAATATTTATTTGCAGTATTATCTTTCGCAATACTTTTAACTCTTATCTGATATTATATAATACATACATAATATACACACGTTATATGTATAATTTTATATGTATAATTTTTATAGATCCATTACCTTAAATTAAAATATAAGAAATAATTAAAAACTCACAGATACACAATTTGCAGCGGTGAAGTAGTTGCACAACTACGTTGATCTGAAAAAATACAAGCATATTTAAATTATAGCACAATAATAACTTATAGTAGTAACAATAAATATTTCAAAAAATAGTTGCATTGAATTCTTTATTTGATTGAATATGGCCTTCTTTGTTTATTCGTATTAAATTATTCATTTGTGCCTGAAGCTGATCAAATAGGCAAGTTGGAACATAAATTATTCATTCATGTTGTTTGAAAAACGAATATTGGGCAAAAAATAATCTTTAATCTTCTGAGAATCATTTAGACTTTAAACAAATTTTCACAATCGTTGATAAGCAAAGATCCATGAAAACAAATAATAAATTATAATTTAATTACATTCATGATTGCTCCGCTGTTGCCTGATGTCTCTCTGGATCATCATCTCCTCTCAGCTTCAGTGATATCCCGGAAACAAGATTCAAATATAGTGTCAATAACTTCAGTCCCGTGTACAATGCATGACAAATTAATGTCTGATGAAGACGGCGGATCACTGAAAATTCATAATCGGATTTCGTTATTGCACTCCCAAGACATTTTAAATAAATTTCGCGAATTACATATATTTTTAATAACATGATCAATAATATTGTATGTTAATATCAGTCGCTTTCTATTTTCATACAAGTGATACCGGTATTTATACTTAGATAATAACGCACTATTTGCTTACTTCGGTAACAAAGTTATAGCATAAAACACTGGTTCATAATTTCACTTTTAATGTATAGTAAGTTAACAAGGCTCAGTAAAGTACACGGTCTTGAGTTTGTAGATTGTAGATAAAAACTCAGTTGAATCTCATGCACTTGTCAGAATGAAAAGGAACATGCACTCAGCTGAGTTATGACGAGAATTACCTGAGTTTTATATAAATGTAAAGCAACTATTATTAACATGTAAACGATCGATATATCACGACCTTTCGTAACCTAAATCACCAGCCTGGCACTTAAGTATTAAGTGTATTCCATATTCTCGATTCGGGAAATGATAGACAAAATTATAATCTAGAAGACGAGAGATACAAAATGCGCTGTTGGAATTTATTAAAATCTATGTATTGAAGATATGACGAAGCAATAATTTAGAAGTATCATTATTTTCCTACATATTTGAATTTCTACACAATGAATAAAGCTCACAAAATACGATAGATAACCGTACTTCAATAGATAACCGTCGTTTCCGTACGTTTGCGAACCATTGATCGCGAGCGTTGATTTCGCGGAATACACGTTAATATTACTAATGCATGTAGACGACCGAATATATCGATCTTTCACTGCATTCTATAATTTAAATCATTAAGCACCACGATTCGCACATTAGGTTGCATTCGGAAATTTCACTCGAGTGCCCGAATGTATTATTTTATCCTTTTATATCTAATGATGAAAAATGGGAAGAGAATACGTTCACTTTGACGTTCATAGTACTTTAAATATGTATCACCCTTTTCATCCTTGTTTATTAAATATTAAACAGCGTCTACATGAGATTTTAAGGATAAAATTTAAGTTTTAAGCTTTAAGCCATAAAAAATCGACCAGTCATAGTCGATTATTTTCCTCACATTCGACTATGATCGTCAATTTCTTAAAGCTTAAGCTTTACATCTTAAAATTCTCATTATAGACGTCGTTTTAAACAGAGCAAATGGTACTCACAAGCGCTGTAAGTGCCAAAGCAACGTATCCTAAATGACGCACTAGAACACTCTGATGAAGACTTCGATGTAGTTTAACTCTATACCTTCGAATCAGAAAATGATGGGCAAATCATACTCTAATAGATTAGAAATACAGAGTGCGACACAATCCAAGTAGCACAAAGTCGACATGATGTGAAATTGGAGTCAAAATGGCTCCGACATGATTACCAAAATTCAATGTTCAATCAGTTACGATTGATTGCAACATTAATGTCGTCATTTTTCTACTTGGAGAGATGTAGCATAAGAATTCAGTAAAGATCGAAATTATTATCCGCTTAAATGTTGCAACGAAACAGTAATTTAGCATTATTCGTTTAGATTCTTACCAGTTTTTTACGCACAATACATCCCTCGTAAAATATGTACATACATATTTCAGCCGTCACTTCGATACGCTCGATCGTGTCGCTCAGCCGTACATGCATAGTAATAGCTATAATAATTATTCGTAACGAATTCGGTGTCTCAGAATAGTTGACGCTATCGCTCCACAAAGGAGAATGTGTGACGACGCAGGACGAGAATTGCCTCTATTTACCACTCAGCTACGCCGCGCGCGCGAATGACGTCACGACGACCTTACCGCCTGCCTGCCTGCCTGCCTGCCGCGCAATACAACAACACTGCGAACGTTGGCCGTTGGCGTCGCGTGTCGACTATTACTTCAGTCAAAACCGTCAAAACATTATCATCTCGATAGACAAATCGAATTTACGTTAAGCAGCGTCCGTAATAAGATTTTAAGGAGTATAGTTAAAGTTTTAAACTTTGAGCCGTTAGGAATTGATGACGAGTGTTATCAGTCTCACCAACTCTGATTAGCGTTGGTCAACTGTTTTCGGAATTGCCAACTGCAAAACTGGACTCTAGCGGCCGTGAAATGTTATTGCTGCACGCGCATGATATCAAAATACGTAAAATTAACTATTTTTGAAAGTATTACTTAATTATTAAAACTGAATTATTCTTCTCATATTCGACTGTGATTAATCAATTTCTTATGACTTAAAGCTTAATATACCTTAAAATCTTATTTTAAATACTGCTTACATCGTTTACAAATATAACAAAAAATCAGCATAAATTGCGACTCTGTACTTATTAATTTAAACATTATTAGATGATGTTTACTCAACTTTACTTTTCTGTACTCGCGATATTCTGAAATATGAGAATGGCTTCATTCGAGGCAACTTCATTTTCGTAGAACATGAGTATGATTGAATACCAATAGGCTGTCTGAAAATATGTAATCGAAATTCACGTGTAGTATATTTCGTACGCATAACTCCTGCAAAATATTATTAATTACTTGTCGTCACACATTAATGTTTATTAATACATAAATGGTCAATATATTACGGCTTTCCATTACTTGACTCATTTACGTTAGTCGATCGTATATTAATCCGAGCTCTCATTTTGGAAATGATAGGCAAATCGTAATTCAAACCGCGATGAAATGTTCAAAGCCCAACACGAAATAGATACAGTGAGTGCAAAAAGTATTTATATAGAAGAGAGATATCTTTTAATAAAAACTTATTTTTAAAAAGTAATTAACAATTTATTGACAAAGAATAAAAAATCATATATATCTTAAAATTATTTCATTCAAAAAATGTGTAATAGTTTAAATATATTTTATCTTCAAGATGAAAATTATATTATTTGAACTCACAAAAAATATAACTGTAACAGTAAAGAAATTTTATTTCCACTTAATATTGCAAATGCTTTGAAATATTTGATTGACCAATCAGAAGAAAGAATTTGACAAATTGACCAATCAGAAATGCTTCAAAGCGTTTATAGCGCCAAGTGTACTAGTCCCAGTTCCTGCTTCGATACATTTCAAATTAATCAATCATGATAGGTATTTGCTTTGATAATAGAATGTCGTTTCAATACGTCTATGAGATTTTAATTGCAAGAGATAATTAGTTGGACGGCGCGATCGATAAACGTTCATATGGAATGATCACGTTTTCTCTTATCTACCGCGATCAGTTTTAACGCCTTTATATGGAACAACTCTCGTCACGACTTGTTCGCCCCAGTTTCGAAATGTTATAGCTGCCAAATTGCTAATGGAACATCACACAAACAAGAAAATGTGTTACATTGCAAAAGTAACGTAAAAAAAAATATTATAACATTACCGGTCAAAAAATTATGTTTGAAATCTTCGGTATTCTAAATTCTAAATGATTAAATCTTAAAATTCTATGAATTTTGTCCAACTTGAGCTAGAATATGTTTGGCTGCTTAACTTATTGTTAAACGCAAAATATTTTATTCTTTTACAGGATTAAAGTAGACACAAAATTATAGGAAATGGACTTTATATTAAAGTCGAAAAAAATTAAGTAAGTTTTTATTTATTTATTTTTTTATTTTAATATAAAATCTACTTCCTAATTTTGCGTCTTCTTTAATCCTGTAAAAGGATTTTTTATTCTGTTCAGACAATTTGGAGATTTTTATACGACAATAATATCGATAATTATCACTCCGCATCCACTTAAAAACTGCCCATACTTTCAGTAATCGTAAGATATACCGTAAGAATCATAATCAGGAATTGTCAAAAATTTTCAATTCTGAGGACCATTTCGACCAATTCTCATTAATCAGCATTATTTTATAAAACTATCAAATTAAATTAATTAATAGAATTATATATTTAAATACATTGAAAGAAGATTAAGAACAATAAACTGTATTAGGCTAAGTTCCACAACTTACGATTAACCCTTAATCGAAGTTTAATTTATTCCTCGATCATTTCTTTCCAATTCTAGAATTGAAAAAAAGAAAAAATTGAAGAATAAATTGAATTTTGGTTAAAAGTAAATTATGAGTGATTGGGCCTTAGGCCTATTTTCATCCACATAGATTAACTTTAATCTCGGTCCAACTTACTCTTCTCGACTTTTTCTAATCTTTAGAACTAGAAAAAGACGAAAAGTAAGTTGAACCGAGATTAAAGTTAATTTACATTGGAAGCGGGCATTAGAGATGCTGTTTTAAGGTCCAGTTTTACAACTCACTGATGCGCATGCTGCGCATTATTTATCCTTATTATTCACCGAATGTTAAACAAGAGTAAATGATGCATCATGCGCATCATGTGTGAAACGGAAAGCTTGAATTTAATCTCTCCAATTCTAAAGATTAGAAAAAGACGAAGAGTAAGTTGAACTGAGATTAAAGTTAATCTACGTGGAAATGGGCATAATTGATTCTACTGTTAATCGTCGATTAAAGTTAATCGGAGTTGGTCGAAACGGCTCTGATTGGCTAATTTATATGGAAGATATGTGCGGCAGCCTTAACAGCGCTCGGACGGTGTGCGCGACGCGGCGCGCATGCGCGCATATCGGGCTATCCCGCAGCGTCATAGTGACTCAGTCAATCAAACGCTGCCAACGACCTAGTGAGTTTGCATAATCAGCTGAAATTTCTGTGGTTTGTATACTAGCTACGCTCAAGGTTACGTTCAAATTACGTTCAGATTCCTACCCGATTTATCCGAGTGCTCGTCCAGGAATCATTTTCATTCTTGTTGTGTATATCGAATATTAAGCAAGGATAAAATGAATACAGATCCGAATCTTGGGAGCACTCCAGGTGGAAATCGGTCTAAACGCGTCCAAAAAAAAAAAAAATTCGATTGTTGAATATTAGCTACGACACTGAAACGTGTAGAATAAATATAGAAAATTCTGTTACAATCTATTCCGAATTTCGATGCATTGTTACCGTGGCATGCACTGTTTGCTTCGTTTCATGAGTTCTCGTAATTATAATAACGATTAATTCCACTCGATCTCATTTTTCCGAAGAAATCCGAGTGAAATAATTTATCGAATGAAAGGATTAAATAAATTTGTAACGGTTAATAAAATAATACATAAAGTACACACATTTAATTTATAAAATTTCGCATCTAATATAAACACATACATATAAAAGTATAATAATTATATTGTATTGCACATCTCGCAATGTGTTTCAAATTTTTCGCCTTTTATGTATATTATCTTAAAATACGATAAACATATATTCTCGAACATTGGAGAGATAGAAAACAAGACAAAAAAATAATAACTTACAGACTATGAAACTACGTAATTATGAGATGCAACTCATTTAATCTTTAGTACACATGAATCGTTCATGTCCTATATATTTCCTTTTTTTTTTTCGAAAAACTAGGAGTATCACTAATCAATTATAACATTTATATATAATTTTTTTTTTAATATAGCTACCTTATATTAATACTTTCTAAAGATGTTAAATTAGATACGTAAAAACGACTTAATAATTCTTGTATGTATATTTGTTAAAGTGAATAAAAAATATTAGTCCAAGAATGATTCAATGCAAAATGTGTAACAAAGAGTCGGAAAATTATCATGTGTACTAAAAATTAACGTATAAAATACTTTTGAAGGATTTAATTGATTAATCAAAAGAAAAAATTTTGTTGATTGTCCACATAGAACAAACAGTATTGCTAAAGTATCTAAAAATTTAACTAAATACAGATCTGAAAATAATTTTTAAGTCAAAATAATTATTAGGACGCTCAAATTGATTGCTAAAATAATGTTAAAACTTTTTGCATCAACGTCTTGAACGACAAAAGCTATCTAAAAGATATCTAAAAACCATAAAGAGGTCTTCTCTGAGAGATAATGCATGTTGTCTAAAATTTAAGCGTTCTACCTTGTACAGCACAGTAACTTTCATCAATATTGCTACATCGTTTACAATATTACTACAATATAATACTAAAACATTACACTGTTGCTGAAATATTACTGGAATAAGCTGTGCCGTGTAGCACACAATTATTTTGAAGATCCCATGAAATTATTTTCATATGTCTATATCTACATAAATTTTTAAATACTTCAGCAAAACCGTTCTTTCCATGCAAACAAAAAAAAATACTTCGAAACATTTGTAGCATCAAATAGATCGCAGTCCATTTCATGCTTCATAAAACAAAGCGTGAAACATACGACAGTAATCTATGCATTCAACAAACGGATCCTTAATGTATGTTTATTTTTGCATGGTGAATATTTTCGTAAAGGCAACGTATAACTGATACAACGGTCGGCGCGTTCGTAGAATTGTTACGCAGTTGTGTTGTTTTCGTTCGCGCGGCGAGCAGGTAGAACCGAACGATGCGGCGCGTCATCACATTCTTTTGTATTCTATCTCGTGACGCGATAACGATAGGTATTCCGAGACGCCGAACGCGATTCGCTACGAACAATTAGCTATTACTGGTAGAATTAATCGACGCCCGCGATCAAATAGTTCGGAATCAAACGTACCGGAACGATTATCTATTGAAATACGTACTTTATGAAATTCATTCATTATACGTAATAATAATAAGAATAATTCGAACGATAATACTTCTAAATTAATGTTTCGTCACGATCGTTTCTTTACATAGATTCCAACACATTCCAAGAACACCGCGCTTTGTATCTCTCATCTTCTAGACTGTAATT